TTGATTGTTGTAGCGTTGTCTGGAGGAAACGTAAAAGTTCCATCTGTTGCCGGTTGGTTTATGATGATGTCACATTCATAGGCGTCTCTCCTGATTGGTTGGATGTAACAGACTCACTGTGAGGTATATGATTGGTTCTGAGCCGTGATGGTGTCGAAAGGTTTGATGTGAAACGTCTGCTGAGGTCACGTCACCTCGACCCTGGTCCAGTCCAACATCCCAGCTGAGCTGGAACCGCTGTCTCACTCACCCGTCACCGACTGGTGCTGCCAACACCACCACCACCACCAGTACCAGTACCAGACCCACAGCCAGTACCCGGCGCCTCCCTCTGGGCCAGGCTGCTGGAGAAGAAGTAAACGAGTGGGTTGAGGCAGCAGTTGGAGCTGGCCAGTGACAGGACCACGGGGTGAGCGGCCCGGGTCACCTTGGTGAGACCACAGTGGGTCAGCACGCCCACGTGGGTGAGGGTGTATCCCAGCAGGTTGACGTGATACGGAAGGAAACAGAACAGGAAGACGCCCAGCACCCAGTAGATGAGCGTGAGCGTGTGCCTGCGACTGCGCAGCCGGCTGCGCTGGTGGTGCCTCGGCTGCCGCAGGACGCTCAGAACCCTGCAGTAACAGTAGAGCAGGAGCAGAGTGGGAACCACAAAGGACGCTTGGACCACCGCCAGGGCCGCCACGATGACCGTCCTGTCCTGCAGCGAGGACGGGTCCAGCAGGCACGGGTGCTGTCCGTGAGCGGCGGCCGATCTGAGCAGAGGCAAACCCACGCTGAGGCCCAGCACCAGGCACCAGATCGCTGCGCTGACCAGCTGTGCCGCGCGCAGCCTGCGCAGCATCGGTGCCAGCGGGTGGACCACGGCGAAGTAGCGGTCCACGGCGATGCCCACCAGGAAGAAGATGCCGCCGTAGAGGCTGATGTATTTGAGGATGAAGGTCAGGTGACAGTAGACCACCCCGGTGGTCCAGGTGGACTGGTCCCCCGGGCTGGACAGCGCCTGGGCCTTTTTGTAGTAGAAGAAGATCCTCAGAGGCAGAGAGAGGACGAAGCACAGGTCGGCCACCGTCAGGCTGACCATGTAGGTGACGAAGGTGCTGTTGAAGGTGCAGCGCGACCGGCAGAGTCGGTGCAGGGCCAGGCCGTTGGTGACCAGGCCCAGCAGGAAGATGATGCTGTAGGACACCTGGTAGAAGGTGAACCTGTAGCTGGTGTCCACCGTGCAGTTGGACAGAGACCAGGAGAGCTTGGCGGCTGCGACAGTCTGGTTCCACGGCTCCATCTTTATTGGGGGTTTTTTTTCTCTGCTTCGGTGTAAAATTCAGGTGGTCGCTCAGGTGCCTGCAGGAAATGAAAGATGGTTTAAGGGAGCGTGACGGTTTTTTTTCATGAGTACACGCATGAGTACACGCATGAACACACAGTGGCGACGGCTGCTGCTGCTGCTGCAGTAAAAACTGTAATGAACTTTAAAAATTATGGTTTAGGTTTTATGGAATGTAAATTTGCTGAGGTGACGGAGCTGAAGCAGCGTTTTATATCAGACCTGAGTCAATAAGACTTCATTACCTGTGGTGTAGTAAAGACAGCGTCATGTGACTGTAATTACACAGTTATAGCTGCCTGTAAATTTTATTGATTGTTGATTTGAATTGGTTTCTATTGGCTTCAAACGTTAACGTTGGAGTTTTTTGGTCCAGAAGTTTTTAATTTTTTTAACATTTCTAATGACAAATACATGGAAGGTAACGTTTTTATTTTAATTTCCAATTTTTTTTTTTAGCTATGAAGTAGGTTTTTATAACAACGGTGACGTGACATCAGAACATTAGAACTTTATGTTGTCAGTCACTGACGGAGACAAATATTTTGCAGCTCAAAAAAACCAAAACATTTTAGCATTTATTTTACGTTAGCACTAAATCCCTACAGACCAACACATGTATCACAGCATATTTATATTTATATAAATATATTTATATATGAGGAGAGTTCAGAGTAGTAGGTAGACGTGGTTACTCACCGGTGACAGGACGACCATCTGTGAGGACAGAGAGACTGACTGACCACAGGCTGCTGAGGGAGACACCTACACTCACACCCTCTCTCCTGTCTATTACCCCACACACACACACACACACACACACCCACACGTACAGAATCACTGTGTAAACACTTGAAGTGCTGTTGGTGAATCTGGGTCAAACCAATCTGGGTTTGTGACGTTAAAAAAAAAAAAAATTAAGTCATTAAAATAACTACATTTGGATCAGTTTGAGTTTTGTCCGAAATATATATATATTTCTCCTACCATACAGTTTTCCATTAACCCCTGATATACTCTTTATTTTTGATTATGATTTATGGTTGCATTACTGCCACCTGCAGGTGGCTGGTGAACTTAACTTATGGTTGCATTACTGCCACCTGCAGGCTGGTGAACTTAACTTAACTTAACAGTTGAAGTAGAGGATTAGTCTTGAGCTAATCAAATCTCGGCTAAGTGTAGCTTGAACCACAGCTGTTGATGAAGCAGAGCTTTAGGGAAATCGTTGTTCATCCGTGGACGATGAAACTCCCGGTGTCCGTGTGTACAGTGAGAAATGAGGTCAATATTAGACCCACTCATGATCACCAGTGATGGGCCCCGACCCAGACTTTGGACACCTTTGACTTTACTGACACTTATCGTTATTACTAATCTTCAAAACCTTTGAATCTTATTTGTATATTTTCCACTTTACACTGAAGCAAATGTTTGTGCCGGGTGACGGCGACCCTGGAGGCCACGCCTGACGACAACAACTCCACAAATATCTGAATTTTTTTTTTTGACCAGCCCTGACTCACGGTTACAGCAGCACCACCACCACTGCTACATCGGCTTCTTTGGTTTTTT